CGGGGCTCACCCCCCCCCCCCCCCCCCCGTGGTTTTAGGGTCCCCGCTACGCTCTGGGGGACCCGTGACAACGGGATAGGAGCTCACCATAGAGTCCCTAGAGCAGACGAAGCATTAGTACTGCTGTAGTCACAGCGCCACCTGTCTCAGCGGTCACTAACTGCAGCATCTGTAACAGTTTCTGTCACAGAAACTGTCACAAAACCTGCCTGCGTCCTATGGAGCGCAAAATACGGTATTTACAATGTAATATTTCAACGTATATTTGCCTATATGGAGAAAGGAGGGTGGACGACGACTGGGGGTCAGCTTGTTTTGGCAGGTAGTGAGCAGCCAGGAAAATCTATCCTGACAAAATAACTTTCCCTTGTACTGTATAGTGTATGGCCAGCTTAAAATAAAAAAAATGCCTGGAGTTAGGATTTAACCCTTTCACGGCTAAGCCCCCAGGAATGCTTTACACCTCAGCTGGCCACACCATATTTGCAATTTTTCCCATTTTGATTTTCTACTTCTGCGTAGGTAGCGTTTATAAAAAGACCCCCACCATATATTTTCTGAAAACACAGGCCCGGTACAATGAAAACATGGTGCTACTAATTTGGTATGTCCTGCGATAGTATTAAACTGATAAAAATACACAAGTAAATTGATAAAGCACAATAAAATCAGTATACGTGCACAAAAAAAATTATGTTCTGACTAAATCTAAAAGATAAAACTGTATTGAGTTAATAAGTAACAAATATTTGTAAATTGCGCCTTTTTACGAAACGGTAAAAAAATGAAGGAATACAAAACTGTAAAAACACAGTGATGTCAAACACTTCCTGTTCATTCATAACTGGGGACGCACAGTACTATGTGTCCCCAGTTGTTTACAGACATTGGAGTGATCACCTGATCACTCCAGTGTTTGCTCTGCCCACAGAGGATCGGTAAATATTACACATATTTACCGATTCTCCTGCTCTCCATCCTGACATCCGAACTCTCCCGGACACTCAGAGTCTCCCGCTATTAGATAGCAGCCCCCGAACAACGGGGAGAGAGACATTTTCTCCCAGAAAGGTTTACTCTGCTTGATCTAGCAGAGTAAACCTTTCTCTGCGATCTTTTTTTTCTGACATTGGGGCCGCCGTCAGTAGGAGGGAAAAAAACAGCATAGGAATGGATAGCTTGATTGCTTGATTGCTATTGGCTATTTCACTTTGCAATCCCTTTGGGATCCCTGACAGAGCCGGCGGCTCTGATCTGATGACTGTTCTTCCATCCTGATCGTGCGGCCCCACCCCTCCGGCCATTTCTCCTCGGATCCCCGCTGTTTTAGCCCATACAGCCAGGGAAGAGCAGCAGGGATCCGAGGAGAAACAGATCCCAGCCTGGAGCGGCTCCAGGTGGGGAGGAGAGGCCACAGATAGAGGTGGGGGGCGCCTGTTATTTCTTGTAAGCCGCTGATGACCGCTATTAATTTAAAGGGGACCTTCAGGGGAACCAGTCTGATATAAGTTGCATTTACAGAATTTACAGAATATGTAACTACTGGTGTGCATGATGTGGGCACACACAGGCTCATTTTGAATATTTCTCATTGGATGCAATAAGTCAAAATAATTTATAACTTTTGGATTAGTGATTGTAACGTTTGATGATACTGATTATAACATTTGATTGATATTGTCAACCTGTCCTATAATAAAATGTTACCAGCTGCAGTTGGTGGTGCACAGTTATAGTATACAGATTATAGAAATGAAACGTTTTAAACTTAGGTCCAATAGTTACTTAATTAGGAGGTGCTGACAGCCACATGAGAATATCTGATGTATCTATATAAATATTCTGAATAGAGAAAGCTGGTTAGATGACCAGTGAAACGTCTTCAAGAAAAATACAGCAAGTCCAGTTGCTTTGACTTATTTTTTTCAGATATCTATATAAAGTCTAAAACAGCAAATTGCACAGCAAATATGCATGGGTCCTTTTTGACAGCAGTCCATTTCGGTTACTAGAGTATGCAGTGGTAATGTTAGTGGTAATACCGTATGAGTGCTTGCATAGCATAGTAGCTTAAAATTACATTTTCTACATCATCTAATAAGGGGGACAAGAATTCAGTAACGGTCAGGTTATACTGCCACCTACAGGAGGTTGGGACACCTCTTGTAGAAACTTTTTTGGGGAACCGAAAAGTTGTAAGCTAGCCCGTCATCTAGCCCCTTCTGTACACAGCATGTGTCAGTTTTTTGCTAGTGTCCCAGAAGGTTGATGTCTTTTTTTCTGCTGAAAGAAGTCATTTTTGCTAGCCTTCTTACTTTGTGGTATTTCTGCTTGATGGCTTTAATCAAGATTCCCGTTACACTGCTGTTTTTTTTTCTATGGTGGAAAAACGATCCCTAGATAGTTTTGAACCTTTGGCAGTACAAGATTGCTCTCAGCCTTATCCCTCTTCTGAGGGACCACCTGTCCTTAAGGGCCATCAAGGACCAGTTCTTGTGGTTCCATTACATAGTACGGACCTGTCCATTCACTGTCCTCCAGAAGGACCCTTTGCAGCTCTAAGCACTAGACTTATGTCCACCCTAGTGCTTTTGTCATGCCATCCCAACGCTCAGGAAACCCTCCCTAAGGAGGGTCAGTTTTCTAGGCTCTTACCCTCTGAGTCCTGATGGAGCGAGTACCTGCAGAACTCATCTGGGTATGGCCTTCCAGATTTCTAGCATTGGTAACTTAGGGTCACCAATACTGCTGGGCAGCTGTCCTCACTAGAGAAATTCACTATTTGGACCCTTGTTCCATTCCTTGTCGGTCAATGAAATTCCCCCTTTTAGTGCTTCTACGGTAATTAGAGAGTGCCCTCCTGACATGGTCTACTATTTCCATGCAGACTCTGTCTATTTTAGTCTCCCTCTCTAGGCCTGAGAGCTTGCATTCAGGTAGAAACATTCAGTTGGTCTCTTTAGATCAAGAAGTTTCAGGCACAAGCTGTCAGCCCCTTGCAGGGGATGCAGTTGTTCCTCCCCCCTCCCCCCCATCATAACTCTTTTCTGACTAATGTGCCCACATACTTGGGACTGCCATCTGGTTCCCCAGAACAGATATGGGCAACTTCATCAGAAGATCCTTAAGTGAGTTGGTATTCTAACCTGATCTCCGTTGAATATCGCCTACGTACTGCAAGACATTCACCTCCGGAATGGTCTGGGAACACTCCCTGCGACAGGCTAAGGGACTTGGTTCCTAGGCTAGATGTCACTAAGTATACCACTTTTGCCTGTAATGTCACTACTAGAGACATAGCATCACTCCCCAGATCTCCTCAACTGAGGATTGGCATATTGAAGAGAGAGAATTTAGCACCTGGGTGCCCCTCATTTCCTACTTTGCAGAAAGTAATTATTGCGTGATGGTCCTGCATTCACACAGGCTTCTAGCAGATAGAGCACATTGGAGCCCTTGGTGGCGGCAGTTCCCATGTCGAAGGGCTCCACCAGATCTAGAATTGATTCACACATTGGATCTTTCAGTTTCTTCTGAAATGTGGTTGGTTCCCAAATTACCTGTGGGCTTGCCTGTGACTGTTGCCCACCCCTCATTTGGACTGCCTTTGAACATCCTGTTACTGAATTCATGTGTCCTGCCCCTTTTGGGGGTTTTTTTATGGCTTTGTTTTGCTTGATTATAAAACTGTGGCTGCTGGGTAAAGGAGGGGTTTTACAGGGGCTGGCCTACTACTTTTTCTGTTTGCTTGTGTTCCAACCTACTGTAGGCAGCAGTATAACTTGTATATTACTGACTTCCTGTGTCCTTCAATCCTTCAATTGATATTATTTTTATTTTTTTTCATGTGCTTCATTCTCCTGAGTTATTATTTTATAATTTCCTTTTTTCTTTATATCCAGGCTCAGCTCATCGCTCAGTCTATAGGTCAGGCATTTAGTGTTGCTTACCAGGAATTCCTTAGAGCTAATGGCATTAACCCAGAAGATCTGAGCCAGAAGGAATACAGTGATTTACTTAACACCCAGGACATGTATAATGATGACCTCATCCATTTTTCAAAGTCAGAGAACTGTAAAGATGTAAGTATTCTGGTGCAGCACATACCAGTACTTTTTATGCATGTTTCAGCATTCTTCTTTTTTTTTTTAAAGCAAATTCAGCTTCCAACTTCTTGCTCTTGCCAATTATGCAACTTCTTTAAAGTGTTTCTCTGCTGATGTGTTAGCAATGTTAACAGTCTTGCTAGGATAATTTATTTTAAAAAAAAGAGTGTAAAAGGGCTGAAATACTTTCCTCTCTTGGAGATGATGCTGCTTCAGACTGCCTCCATGCTGGTTATCTGACCAAATACCTAGGCTTTTGGTCAGATAACCAGTATGGTAAATGTTGTCTAAATAGTCATGTCTAAAGTGTCATGTGCATTCTTACTTGAATCTTGCTGTGTTGCTTGTATATTTTTCCAGATCTGTGCAGTAACCCAGGCTACAAATTTGCATTTGTGCAGAAGCTTCCTGTATTGAACACTAGTCACTGCTGTTCTCTCTCCTTTTGCAGGATGATTGATCTTGTATTGACCCCCTCCTATAGTTTTCTGCAGGCAGCCTGTAGTGGGTGGACCTGATGGGTTCCTCTCACAGCTCTGCTCTCCGTACATGCTATGTGCAACCCATTGATAATGTCACTGCTGTTATAAAGTGATATACTGGTTTGTGAAGGCATTTGGTGCACACAAATTGGATTTATATATTTAAATGTAAGTTTTTTTTTTGCCCAGTTCAACTTCCGTGAGCCCCATATTTAGCTTTAGGCTACGTGTGCTCTCAAAAATCCTGATAACTCTTCATGTATGGACACATAAGTTAATAACCACAGTGACAGTTTTTTTAGTTTAGGTGGAAACAACCAGTTACCACTAGTTTTGAGCTGAATGTGGGCCAACTCTTAACCCCATTCTACATTAGAACTCTGAGGAATGTCTATGGTAATTCCTGTTCACATACATTTACTGTCCTATATACAGTATAGGTAGCCAACATTTCCATTTTTCTTTCAGGTGTTTATTGAAAAGCAAAAAGGGGAAATCCTTGGAGTTGTCATTGTAGAGTCTGGCTGGGGCTCTATTCTGCCAACAGTTATTATTGCGAATATGATGCATGGAGGCCCTGCTGAGAAGTCGGGAAAACTGAATATTGGGGATCAAATCATGTCTATAAATGGAACCAGCTTAGTTGGGTTACCGCTGTCGACTTGTCAAAGCATTATCAAGGTAAGCTACAAAAAAAACTTCCATTTTAAAGTGTATTTCCACATTTGCAGTCAATTGTTCACACAGCATACCTAAAAAATAATGTTCTAAATATTACTTTACAGTTTTTAATTTGAAGCAGGCTTATACAAATTACTCCATATACAGCTTTTATTGTTTAGAATAGAATGTTTTTGCATTTTAAGTATCATGCATAAAGTGTATATAACCATGGGAATTTCTTGTTCTCTGGCCAGTATCACTCTAGAAAATAAGCACTGTAAATATAACCCAAACGTCTTCTGAGCTAAGCTTAGCCTTCCACCAGCCCACAGATCCAGCATAGGCTGATGTCGCTGCGTGAAGAAGACTTTCCATATGCTGAGATTAGACCTCTTTTTCCTCCAGATGCAAAGAGTGCCTCCTTGTTCTTTGCAATGACCTTAAAGTTAATAACTTTGCACCAAGTTCAGTATATGGAACCTTTATGTATTTATACATGTTGATCATATCCCCTTAAATAGCCTCTAATACCATGCTGACTGTTGCTTACAGTATTGTTTTCTAGCAAAGGCTCATGAATGTGGTCCTTTATCAAACTCCCAAGTATCTTCCCAACTATAGAAGTTAAACTTACAGGTCTTTTATTGGCAAAGACATTGTTCCCTTTTTAAATGTAGCCACCATGTTGACCTTGTGCCAATTCATTGGTGCCAAGCCAGTTATTAAAGAGTATCTAAAAGTTAGAAACATAGGCTTCATAATAACATAGGTAAATTCTTTGAGGACACATGGGCATAAGCCATCTGGCGCTGGTGCTTTATTTTGTCTAACTGTTTCTAGACCATATCCATTTCAAGCCATTGTGGTTCATTAGAGGCTGTGACACTACCATCCCCATTGTGGACTTGAGCTCCAACATTTTCCTTTGTAAACACAGAGCTAAAGAGAGTATTATTAGATTTGCCTTCTCTTTGTCCCCAGTTACTAACTCTGAGTAAGGGGCTGACAAACACTCAGACGTCCTTACTGTTAATATATTTTATTATTCTTATACTTCATGGCCTTTTTAACATTGGCTGTGAGTCACATACGTTTTACTTTTAAACTTTTTGCCCACAAAAACATATTTTACAGTACGTCTGCAAACAGTTGATTTGAAACATTCCCACTTCTGTTGTGTTCTTTGATGATATCATTCCCTCCCAATCTTGGAGTGCAGTTGTTAGCACTGGAAAATTTGCTTTCTTAAAATAGTTTTGGTCTTTTTTGTATGTGCTTATCATTTGCAATTTAAATGAAATCATATTATGGTCACTGCTACCCAGATTTTCTTTTATATGAACGTTTGTAATAAGCTCTGCATTGTTTGAGATTAACAGATCCAACAGAGCATAATTTCTATTTAAGACGTCTATAAACCGCACCATAAAATTGTCTTGTAATAAGATTATACATTTCCACCCTTTTACTGTTCCAGCAGTTCCTTTAGAATAGTCAACTGCCGAGTAGTTTAAAATCTCTCATTATTTTGAATGTCCCAGCTCTTGCAGCTTTCTTTATGTGTAAGCAGCTGAGTCTCTACCAGCCTTATTAAAACTGGAAGACCTGTAACCAGGGCCAGTCTTTGGGGTGTTCGAGCTGTGCGGCCGCACAGGGCGCCATGGCAACAAGGGCGCCGGGCAGCTGACACAGCTCGTCCTCGGGGTGGCTTTTCTCCTCCTCAGCACTGGCCATCCGACATGACAGCGCTCCCTCCTATGTGTCCCCAGTTATGAATGAACAGGATGACTTCCTGTTCATTCATGAATTTCTGAATGGGGAGTAGCACTCACTACAGAGGCTCTTCCCTATTCATAAACTGGTGATAGTAAAATATGTTACTATCACTTTCTGAATGAATGGGAAGGCTCTGTACTGTAGTAAACCAATAAATACAAAATAATAAAAAATTTAACAAATTATTTTAAAAAAGTGAAAATTACACCCCCACATACAGATATTTGTAGTCATGTGCAACGACAAAAAATTCATTTCAGATGAAATTAACGAAAACGAAAAACGTTTTCATTCGTTTCATCAAACAAAACACATGTTTATGCTATTTTGGATTCAGTCATGGCGGCGCCTGTATCGGCGTGTGGCGTCACCTGACGCTGCGCATGCATGGCTTCATGTGACATCATGCTCCCCGCCTCCAAGATGGTGGCACGCATTCGCAGAACGCGCTGGTAGCCAACATGGCCGCCGCACATTCTCAAACAAATTATATGTGCCTGAATAAATTTTTTATATATTCGGGGAAATAGTAATTCATTAATTTAACATGTAGTCTGGGTTTTATGTTCTGTTTTTTACTTTTCTAGATGCACATACTTTTATTTTTATAGACTATTTTAGTTTGACAATTATTGTTTACCACTTGTTTGCTTGCTGTTGTTTTATTTAATACGAATACTTATATTGTGCCTACAAGTTTAATACCTTTGAATACAAGTTTTATTTAAATCATACTTTTTAATCTGTTTCTTTGGGGCTTACCAAAATTGGAGTCTTTGAATGGTGCGGATATTGGAGAAATGGGTGTGACCACTGAGGGGTGTGGTCACTGAGGGGCGCTGTAGAGCTTTCTCACACCGGGCACCTAAAGGCCTATGGCTGGCCCTGCCTGTCTGTAACGAACTCCAAAAATTCCCTTTTGTAGTATGCACATTCATATGTAACTCCACCCATAATGCCTCAGCGCTGTCATTCTCCCCATCAACATAGTCCTCATTTATGCTTACTTTTAGATCATGTCTCACATAGGGACAGACACCACTACGGTAGCCAAGCTTCCTACCTGATCACTCAGAACTGCTATGTTTTAACTTCACTTATCTCCTATGTTTTAACTCCACATGAATCAAGCCATTTTGTTCACAAGCCTCTGCAAAGTCAGTGTGAGGTCCAAATTTTGCAACTGTCTTACTTAATTGTTAGAAACAATTATGATAGCAGTAGGAGTAAAGATCACAGTGCATGTTAAGGAAAGATAACTTTTATTTTTTATTTTTTAGAGTCCACCTTGTGTCAGGCTGTTGGCCACAGTGCTGTATTTTTGCATTTGGTGTTAATGAAGGTTTAAAAGGTGTTGGAAGGTTTACTGGACACAGAATTTTCTATGCATATGCTCATAGCCTCGGAATAACTCTTCAGTTATTGTTTGACATTTGCAGAGATGTACTCTGGTACAGGTATCTCCGGTGATTTGCACAAATCTCTTTTTTTTGGTATTCACTATGGCAAGATATATGCGTTGTCAAATGTCACTCATTTACATAAATAGTTTATTTTCTTTTTAAAAATAGGGCTTAAAGAACCAGTCACGTGTGAAGCTGAACATCGTGAGATGTCCTCCAGTAACCACTGTCTTAATCAGGAGACCTGACCTTAGATACCAGCTTGGCTTCAGTGTACAGAATGGCATTGTAAGTGACAACATGTTATAAACAAATATTTTTTATTGCTTCTATTATTAGGCTAAGTATACATGTAGGAGAACTATTTTATTATCATGCTTTTTTGTACTTTTCACATTTATATTAGAACCAGAAGGTATTTTCTTACATTTATATCCTTATTCGAGCTATTTCTGATAATTTGATCCTGTTTAGTTTTTATTTAATCAGTGTCCTGGTGACAAGATAATTCAATATCCAATCTAATAAAATAATTTTATTGCTGTGCCCCATTTAAGAGGTTTCCTTGACTTTCTGTCACAGTCAGGAGAAGTGAGAAAATAATTCCTTAGTGGGGGACACAGATTGCAGTAAAACACGACAAAGGATCTTTTAAAAATACATGTGTGGATTTAGGCATCAATGTAATCCTTTCTCATGTGGAATTAAGGGGTGATTTGTATGTGGAGACCACAAAATTTAAATAAGTGTGTAGAACCTCAAGAGTTAAATTTTTCAGAAATTTTAAAAAGGAGGTGTGTTTCACAAGCCTCTGCAAAGTCAGTGTGAGGTCCAAATTTTGCAACTGTCTTACTTAATTGTTAGAAACAATTATGATAGCAGTAGGAGTAAAGATCACAGTGCATGTTAAGGAAAGATAACTTTTATTTTTTATTTTTTAGAGTCCACCTTGTGTCAGGCTGTTGGCCACAGTGCTGTATTTTTGCATTTGGTGTTAATGAAGGTTTAAAAGGTGTTGGAAGGTTTACTGGACACAGAATTTTCTATGCATATGCTCATAGCCTCGGAATAACTCTTCAGTTATTGTTTGACATTTGCAGAGATGTACTCTGGTACAGGTATCTCCGGTGATTTGCACAAATCTCTTTTTTTTGGTATTCACTATGGCAAGATATATGCGTTGTCAAATGTCACTCATTTACATAAATAGTTTATTTTCTTTTTAAAAATAGGGCTTAAAGAACCAGTCACGTGTGAAGCTGAACATCGTGAGATGTCCTCCAGTAACCACTGTCTTAATCAGGAGACCTGACCTTAGATACCAGCTTGGCTTCAGTGTACAGAATGGCATTGTAAGTGACAACATGTTATAAACAAATATTTTTTATTGCTTCTATTATTAGGCTAAGTATACATGTAGGAGAACTATTTTATTATCATGCTTTTTTGTACTTTTCACATTTATATTAGAACCAGAAGGTATTTTCTTACATTTATATCCTTATTCGAGCTATTTCTGATAATTTGATCCTGTTTAGTTTTTATTTAATCAGTGTCCTGGTGACAAGATAATTCAATATCCAATCTAATAAAATAATTTTATTGCTGTGCCCCATTTAAGAGGTTTCCTTGACTTTCTGTCACAGTCAGGAGAAGTGAGAAAATAATTCCTTAGTGGGGGACACAGATTGCAGTAAAACACGACAAAGGATCTTTTAAAAATACATGTGTGGATTTAGGCATCAATGTAATCCTTTCTCATGTGGAATTAAGGGGTGATTTGTATGTGGAGACCACAAAATTTAAATAAGTGTGTAGAACCTCAAGAGTTAAATTTTTCAGAAATTTTAAAAAGGAGGTGTGTGTGTGTGTGTGTGTGTGTGTGTGTGTGTGTGTGTAAAAAGGTTTAATCATGCTAGAAATCTTGTACCTTTTTTTTAGCATTTTCAGTGGCAAGTTTTGTGCAGAAATCCAGATATTTTAGTTTGAGTAATGAATCTAATGATGACAAAATTAGAAACAACGTGTATCTCACCAGCACACAAAAAGAAATAGAGGCGGCTGTAAATAATACATCTTGGACAGACATTATGTATTGGTGGATTGCTGATCAACAATTACTGAAAATAATTTGTGTTGCCTATATCAACCAGTCATATTTTGATGTTTCGAGTGCAGGCTAAAAGGGATCTGGTGGACTACAGTAGGCTAACAATTCTTGAGCATAAGTGCTGGTGCAGCCAAATTAATTAGAATTCTTTGCTGTAAATATAGCCTAATATTATAGAGCCATTTATTCCAATTATAATACAGCTGTACTTTATAGTAGACATGGTTTCCATACACTGCACTGAAGATTGCTTAAAAGCCTGAAACAACTTTATGCAGTGTAAAATAAATGGCTCTATAATATTGGGCTAATTTTGTACTGTACACCAGTGGTTATAGATGTGCATTTCGCTGTTTGGGGCATAAAGCAATGATTGCATGACTCCACCCACTGTCCTGCAATGAAGAATAATCCTCTTATTATTGGGATATGTGATGGAATGAGACCTGTTAATACCTTATGTTTCAAGAAGGCTTAATTAGGCTCTAGAATTACACTAGAATAATACTTCAAAGTATTCCTATTAGGGCCTAAGATATTAGTGTGTCAGTCATTCCCCACTACAAATCAGATTCAAAGTTTCACTTTTCAACTGTTATTTTTCATGGTATGTTTTCGGGCATTACTGTTGTTTCTTAGGGCAGGCTGATTTATGCTTCTCCTTTAAGGAAAACAAAATGAACCTAATTTGCTTATAGAGCAATGTTTCTTTTGCAGATTTGCAGCCTTATGCGAGGTGGAATTGCAGAGCGAGGTGGTGTACGAGTAGGTCATCGCATCATTGAGATCAATGGACAGAGCGTGGTAGCAACTCCCCATGAGAAGATAGTTCATATTCTGTCCAATGCAGTTGGCGAGGTAATGAATGCTAAATCTTGGTGTATAACTTATCAAAGTTACAGCAAGTTTTTGGGGTTTTAAATGAATAAGCATTCAAGAAAAAAGATTATTTGTAGAACACGGTCATGCAGTGTTGTTTAAAAGAAACTTAGGATAGTTCTATCCTGTTGCAACACCTTACACGAAAATCAACATCTATTAGGTTTCTGCAAAATGACTGACACTTTTCTTTGGTCCAAGTGACCGTGTCCTTGTCTTCTCTGATTAAATGTATTACTGTTATTATTCAAGCTACAGAGAATTAGTTGGTGAGTAACTGCTACGAGACAGTGTCCTTGTCAGTATAGAAGTAAGTTTTCATGTTCAGAAAGTAAAAACTGACATGCTGTGCTAGATATATCATTATATATTTAATTGGGAACTACAGGAAAGATTTGGCAGGTGACTGAGAATACTTGATTTTGAAAAGCTGAATTCGAAGGATGGCCATAGACTGACAGCTCTAGCTGAGACTGATGAGTAGTGACATATCTCATTTTGTAGAGAATTATGCAGGCACAAGGAGCTGCACAGTTTCTTCTAATCTGACATACAGATTGTGATCACATGTGGTAAATTGTACGTTCTCTCTTGTAGGGATAAAAGAGAATGTTTACTAATCGATCACAGGGATTTTTCAAGATCTGAGTAGGCACAAAAAAGTATTTATCATGGGCTTATGGCATCCACTTGATGAAATGCATCGTTGTCACTTGCACTCTTCAGGCCATGGATAGCCACCCTTAGATTTTACAGGAAATTTTAGACATGCCTCACTTGTTGCTTTTAGATATGAGCTCCTATCTAAACTGAACATTTCCTATGATTCCTTAACACAGACCTGTTACCATAGTGCATAGTTTTTCTGTTGTGCATTCTTTCATAATTCTACTCCTGTGCATTTTTCTTCCTTTTAACATGTTTTTTCATTCATTTCTTCAACAGATACACATGAAGACCATGCCAGCAGCCATGTACCGACTGCTGACGGCACAGGAGCAACCAGTTTACATATGATAGCGTCTGTCTCTTCACAACATGCATGGAGCACAGTTCTCCTCAAGTGTGGTTGTGGTTAAAGTGCCGCATCTGTTTGCAGAAACATCTTGAGAAGAATTACTACTTTTTCTTTTTTGTTTTAGCCCAGGTTTTTTTCTATATTGCACATCTCTCATAAAATGGGTTAATCTATTTAGGGCCTGTGCTCCAGTCATCATTTAACTAATATATAGCTGCAGTGTTAGGAAAACACCTTACAGTTCATGTGGACTGCTTTTGAGTCCTAGAATGCATCCTGCTGAACGGCTGGGTGACAACAAGTCACTTCAGTGAAGACCAAGCTTCTGCTACTAGTGATCTTGTCCTCTCCTTTATGCACTTAAAGTTCTAACATTTAAATCTGGCCAGTAGTTAATCTTGCGTATTATGAAAGAGCCTTCATGCATGTGTCACAGTTGTAAAGTAGCAGGACTGGATCTTAGATACAACTCTAGGAGTTGTGCATGAAACTCTGGGTTGCCTTGGATCTTCAAATTATAATATGTGTGCTTCTGTTGTGTTCACTGTATCAAAGCACTTTTGAAACTGAAATATCCTACATCAGTAATTTATTTAAAAAAAAAAAAAATACAGGTGCTGTTTAAGCAGCATGTCTACATCCATGTTAAAGATCTGTCTGAAGGTGCACCACTAAACATCACTCATCATCATCATCAATATTGTTAGAATACAGCTCAATTTCTGACAGTGCATATAAATGTTGGAATCTGGCTCAGTTCACTTTGTTTGCCCAGCGAACAATTTTCACTAAATACCAGATAATAGCAGCTTATTTGCACTATAGTTTATTTAGTGGTTTCAGATATTTCTTACCATGTTATTGGCCAAACACAGGACATGCATTTCAAGTCCTTGGCTTACAGTTTATAAAGGGATGCAACAAAAACTTTCTGCAAGTCATTAATGACTCCCGACTTCCCTTAATATAAACAACAACAGTGATGAGGCTCTGAGCCCATTTTTTTTTTAAAGGTTTAAATCTGAAAGTCCTTCCTTAGAGGCAGTTACTACCATGAAGAGACTCTACTCTGTGCTTTAGAAGGTTTGTGCACCCTCTGCCTCTTGGGAATATTCCCTACCTGAACACATTCCACTATTCCATGGGAACCCATCAGAGGCTAATAACAGCAATTTAATAATACCTGACGGCACAAAACATGTTTTAGTATCAGTGCCATGAACTGCCTGCTGTTAGTCAAAATGTTTAAATTGCTAACCTTTAAAAAAAAACTTTAAGCTGTCATTAGCAAAGCAGAAAGATGGGCAGATTTTGCCATGGCAGATGCATTTGGAAAACATTTTTGTTTTCAAGCTTATCTGTATACAGTTGTATGCTTTTCCCTTTTATAATCAGGCAACATTTTCCCCAGAATGGAATAAGTGTACACAGTTGCTGGCTTTGCCCTTGAAAGAGGGGCCAGAATTGTCAGAATACATTCATTTCCATTTTGCTATGTTTACATTGTATTTACATAGTTCTGCTGTTATCTTGTCTCAGTAAGAGGTAGCCAGTATGGCTGGAGCTGGTGAGAAGCTTATGGCGTGAATAAGATTTGAAATGATAGTTTCCAGCTAACTTTGTTTACATTGTGCTGTTTAATCCAAGAGCTCTAACACATATGTTATTTTTTGAGCAGGGTACTTTTTTTTGGGTGGTAGCTACCACAGCCTGAGCTTATTGGAAACACAGATGACTTATCTTTACAGTAACCAGGGTAACCGCACACATAAGCTGTCTCATGAATTAACTGATATGAACACAGATGTATCTGTATGTACCTACTGTAAATGTTACTGATGTAGAAGCAGTATGCATAGATATAGATTGACATAAATCCTCTGCCCTAATGGTGGCCATGCATTTGTTAGTTTTTAGGCCATTTTAACCAGTGTCAGCCAGTGACAGTTTCAGAAACAACTGGATGGGCAACCTACCACCATTTCAAACATTTCACTGTTTCAATAAAACAGTTGGTAACAGCAAGAAAATATATTGCTGCAAGACCTCTGTGACAACGGTAGCGACCAACCTCCATAGGTACTAGGTACGGTATGTCCCAAACACCAGCTGAATTAATACATTATTCCAGCTAACAAGTCCTCCCCCTTCCCCTCTTGTCTGTCTCTACAATAAAGCTCATGTTGCAGTGAGATGCACCATGAGGGGAGGTAAGGGGGGCCGGGGGGTGTTCTGTGCGGTGAGAGCGGCCGGTTAACTCAATAAAGCTATTCAATGGGTGGAATTGTCTGCACAGCCTTTGTTTTTGGATGTTTTCACAAACTTTTGGTAGTAGATTGAATCAATCCACGTGGTTGGTTTTGCAATCAAAAGCTGATTTCAAGTGGTTGAAATTGTCTGATACCTCTTACATACATGGCCAGCGTTAGGCTGTGATGGGGCAGCTTTTACGTTCACACTGACATAAAATGCCCTAACTTACAATTATGTTTACATGCCATTTAAAATCGTCTGCCTCCCCTTGAATATGTAGACCTAGTTTACTGCTGTTGGTGAGTACATATATAACTTGTCAATCAGAGCAGGGCCTCATGTGGAAAAGGTTGCCATTTCGTGGTCTTAATCTGCCACAAAGTAGCAAAAGACTTCTTTACTGTAATACTGGGCAACCAAAAAATGTCTGCTCCTCTATTTTGTGGGATCAAGGTGTAAATGGTGTCAGCCCAGCATCAAGTGGATTGATAAAACTAATTTAATAATGTAAAACTATACTTGTTTTAGGTCTAATATACCACACTGATATGACATAATTAATATTTATTTTGTGATGTAGATAATTTGTGTTTTCCTGTATATCAGGGATTATGATTTGTGTGAGGATGAGTATATAGCTCTTAGAAAGCTGACACAGCCTTGAAAACTATGATATGAAGACAATAGGCAATGTATTTATTTATTTATTAAAACATGTGTTACATGTTTGGAAATCTTAACCTTTTTAATTTTTCATCCCAAACAAAGACAAAACATGTCTTAATATGTTTCACGGAGCTTGACATTTATGTGTGCTGTTTTCATTTATCTAAAACAACTTACCTGTATCTGTTTACTATAGGAAGCTGCAATTCATGACTTGTAACCAAATAACATGGAGAACAAACCCAGTATTGTATTTATGAAGATTTTCTTTCTGTCATGAAGATGTATATAAGTGGTATGATTAACTGTTAAGGAGAGCCTCATTCTTTGTTTACTACAGCAACATGCACAAATGCTAATCGGAATAGACGTCAGACTTTTCTTGTACACCAGACAACACTGGGACCAACTAAATCTAACTGTGGCTCCTTTTCTTCCAATGACAGGACAAACTTGTTTCATATATAACATTCATAAATCCCACTTATGACTGGATTCATACAGTGGGACCTAGGGAATATATCTTAATTTTGAGCAGGAGGATTGAAATAATAAGGTAAAATAGACAAGGATGAAGCTGTTTATGTTTTGTACTGTTTTTCCGATGGCTTGATCCATTTGTTTTCATTCCCATAATTGATTTTGAGACCGCAGAACAAGACAAACTCCGTGGGTCATAAATGGCAACTCTGTGGTCTAATGTGTCTACATAATAATAATGCACCAATATTAATCTATCTTGTCCATCATTTTCTGGTTTTTCAGTATACAAGAGACCATTTATAGTTGTTATGCACAACTGTCCTTTGTAGTTTCAGGAATCATAATGTGTATGTGATGTGCAATATGATCTGAATTTATGGTTTAATATAACACTTTCAATTCAGCTTCTTTTTTCTGCATATTAATTAATTGACATTTAATATGATATATTAATTGAGAGAAACTGCCACCATGCACACTCAGGGCAAATTCACAGTGCATTTGCTAAGGGCCCATCTTCCCGACTCATTGATGCCGTGCCAGTTCTCCACCTCCACTTCTTCCTCACTCAAGCAACCAGCGCAGTGTCACTCCTGTCAGTGCTAGACCCCAGCAATGTCACACGAGAGGAGGTCACATGCTCACTAGGTAGCCCCGGGTATTGTCACCAACTGTGATGGAGGAAGGAGTCGTGAGGAAGTACTGGCAAGATGACTATCAGAAAGCTTAGATAGGGACTGTGTCAATGGCATCAGTTAGAGATGCTTATGAGATTATGTAGGATTCAATGAGAGATGCATTTGACCCGCACTTGACCTCCTTCAGACCTGCAGTTGACCTGCTTCAAGCTGCTTCTCTAGACTTGTATGGAAATGCTAAAGCAGCAAAAGCCCACAACACAGGCTCACACAGAACGACGTGCAGTTAAAATTAAAAGTTGAATCCTTTTTAGATCTCACTGTCTAGAAATAACCCTGGCTATACTTTAACCATAAACCGGAAACTCTTATGCAACTAGCGTGTCTTGTCCTGGTTGACATCCACTGACTCACAGCAGTGGGGCAATCGACAATGCTACAGACCCAGTTCTCTGCTATACTACTTCAAATGTTGAGCAGACCAAGACACGTGTCTTATGGAGATACAGTTTTATGCTTAGGTGGACATTTGAAATCTTAAGGTCCTGTCATTGTCCATCAGCTATTTGCCTTCGATGTTCCAAGCACTCTAAATGTATAACTTTCCATTTTCAGCCACGTTGGAAGTAAAGCTGAAACAGTCATTCCTAAGTAAAACCTTTATGCTGACCGTGTGTGTAAAGTAAAACAGTACATCTCCATTATAAAGCATTATGATATCACCGTCCTCAAATTGGCCTTTTAAGTTCGGTATAAACTGTAGTATTATAACATTAAGAGCACAAGAAACACTGCACCCTCCCAGAGAAGCACAGCGCTGTAGGAACCCCAAGAAACTTTCAAACCACAGTCAATATAGAGTTACCCCTTTCTATTAGCACATTCCAAATTGAGCCTGCTGTACACCTCTGTAACAAAAAATACGCACAGACATTGTCTTCTCCATGTGTTGACTCCAATATCTCAATTAGTTTCTATTCTAGGAAGAACTTTTTAATGTTTTTTATTACCTAAAGTCATGCAATATGAACCTTTTTTGACCTCTGATTGGGTCAGCTAGTCTTAAAAATGCTTTTGCTGTCCTGGTAACAC